TAGTTTAGATTTCAATATAATGTCCATTTAACCCTCAAAAACTAAACATTACTATCGAAACTATTAATTTATAAATATTAATAACCTGCTTTACTATTTTTGATTTGTTTGCACAACGTATGCAAGTTAAGGAAGTCAACATGTCGATGTGTCCTTGGGCAAGATACTGAACCCTGAGATACTCCTGATGGCCAACGATGTGTGAGTGTGTGTGAGTGTGAGTGTGAGTGTGAGTGTGAGTGTGTGTGTTGAGTGTGGTGTGTGTGTGTGTGGTGTGTGGTGTGTGTGTGTGTGTGTGTGTGTGTGTGTGTGTGTGTGTGTGTGTGTAGGTGTGGTGTGAGTGTGTGTGGAGTGTATTTAGCCAAGGGTGACCACATCTGGGACAATGTGGGACAAGGTACTGTGATGCTAAGAGGTGGATTCAATTTCAATATAATGTCCATTTAACCCTAAAAAAATGTACATTTCAATTGAAACTATTAACTGATAAATATGAATAAAAACACTTTGTCTCTCTGGCTGGAAGATGAATCTCTGCTCCACAGCTTCTCTTTGGATAACTGGACAAACTATACATATGTAATGTAATATTCCATTCCCTACACTCTTAATGTAAACTAGAGAATGCAATTCCTGAAGAAATTGCTAGTGGGGAATGCTTATGCTGAAATGTAATGTGAAAGAAAAGAAAGTGAAGAATTTATATTGAAATGATACATGAACACTGGGGCTTGAATGTGTGATGAGAGAAGAAAAGAGAGTAAAAAGGGCTTGGGAAAAGCAGCAAGAATATTTGAACTGGCAAACCTTTGGAACTAAGTTGATGGTGAATGATCTGTCGCCATGGTGCCAACGGCATTGAAGAAATCTCGAAACTGGTCCCGGAGATGTCTTCACGGCTGGACTGTTAGCACACACGTGAAGATTTGAGCACTTTTTGAACATTTTCATAGGAGTTATAGCGACATCATGTTTTATGGTGAGGGATGCGTTTCCATGGAAACGGCATATGGTGAGATCTTAGATTTGGCGTAGAGCTGTTGAGGCATGGACCGATGTGGCAGAGAGTGAGAGAGAGAGAGAGAGAGAGAGAGAGAGAGAGAGAGAGAGAGAGAGAGAGAGAGAGAGAGAGAGAGAGAGAGAGTGAGAGAGAGAGAGAGAGTGTGTGTGAGTATGAAATGAACAGTTAGAACTGACTGCTGTCAGTAGGAGTGATGACATCATCGTGTTCAAACACAGGTGTTGATAGTTGAGCTAACGAGCTATGAAGAGATCAAAGGCTGCATTGTTCTGAATGAGAGATAAAGCTCTTACATGTGAACGTTTTGTGGAAGAACGATAACAGATATCTGTGAAATTTCAAAACGTGAAGCATGTCAAGGAAGTTGAGTATCTGAAGTGTAATTTTTGTGTACTTTCGGGTTAATAATGTGGCCTTTTTGGCAGTTTAAGAAAGGTGTGCGGCTGCTGCTGTGAGGAAATATCTGCCTGAAATTACAATGGGCTTTAATGGAGACATGTTGAACGTTTGTGTCACTTCATGCCCTCAAGAGGCATTTTGTTTAATTATGTTTTGCTTAATTATTTGTCATTTTTCAAGCTACGAGATGTTTTCCTACGTTTATCATGAAAAATTATGTCTCAAGAATGTAGGGTTTGGGAATTATGGCAGTTTTAAAAAAAAGATATGAAGGGAAATTTCAAGATTTCTTACCCTCTAGCTGTGACATCACGCACTCTAGTTAATGTTAAAATCTGAAGAAAACCTCTTTAACAAGGTCTGAACAATGTTTAATATTTCTAAAAGTAAGAATCAGATTTAAAAGTTGTGTTACACGGAGAATGTCAGAAAGATGTGTAACATTTTAAAGTTGGAATGAGGTTTCTGAGTGAAAGTATGAATGAACATTTAGCAATTGAAGTCGCATGAAGATTTGTTGAAGTCTGAAGAATTTCTCCATTGACTTCAATGGTTAAAAATGTGATGTATTATGGGATGTATCTCTGGAATTATGAAAGTTATGAATGATAAAAGTAATAGCGCCCGATTCCCGACCGAGCTGAACGTTTTGATGTTTGAACGGAGTTTCTGCGATGTTGAATGTGGGAGGAGAAGACGGACAAAATAATTGGATGGAATAATAATAATAAACTTTTCGTCCGTAGCATAACATATAGTTGGAATGCTGTATCAGCATTCCCACTAAATAATATGCTGCTTTATATTGGGTCTAAAGCCCTTCAATATAGATTTAGTATCTTCTACTTTATATTTTCTACTTGTTAAAGCTGTTTTAATTTAGTGGGAATGCTGATACAGCATTCCAACTATATGTTATGCTACGGACGAAAAGTTTATTTATTTTGTCCGTCTTCTCCTCCCACATTCAACATCGCAGAAACTCCGTTCAAACATCAAAACGTTCAGCTCGGTCGGGAATCGGGCGCTATTACTTTTATCATTCATAACTTTCATAATTCCAGAGATACATCCCATAAT